TAGAAATAAGCAAATAGAAGCACAAGTTTCTGTGACATACCAGAAGTCATAAGCTAATGGAAAATCACAAGCAGAACCCTAACTGTGCAGGTGCATAATGCTTGCCACAAGATGTCACACTCAAAAGCAATGTATAAAGGTAGTTGTGAATCAGTATAAATGTGCCTAACGTCACTTAACTATGCACTTAAAGAAGGTTAAAACAGTAAATGTTATCTGTATTTTACCACAATTTAAGAAAAAAATTTGGAAAAGTTAATCTAAAAAAAATAATAATAATGAAGCAAACCCAGCAAGGTAGTAACATGACTTCCTATACCAGGTATTGCCCTTGGCTTGTCATCTCTGCTTTGATTCTGCATCTTAGAAGACCATATTAGCTCAGTCATTACCACAAATGTTCTGGTAATGAGGAAGATATCACTTTACAGTTTATGTCCAATTCGATTGTTTTTCAGAGGAGTTTCCCTCTGAAGTTACCTGGAGAAAGTTAACTTCCTTCTTTCTTTCATCCTATTATTCATTCACTCAGTAGATAATTATGGAGTACTTGGTATGTGCCAGGCACAGTTCTAAGCTGAAACCGTTGGTAAACAGCTACTGTCTACAGCACTCTGCCCTGTACCTTATCTCTTCCTTGAGACCCGCCCACCCACTGAGGTCAGCATCCATTTCAAACTGTAAATGCCTGGGCTTAACCACTTGTTAAATACTTTATCACCTTCTAGACACATCAGTGAACGAAACAGACAAGATCTCAACCCTCCAGTTTAGGAATGAGATAAGTAGATACATAAAAATACAATTTCAAATAGTAGAGTGCTATAGAGAAAATAAGATGGCTAGAGGGAGACTAGGATGATACAACAGGGTAAAACTTAAGAGCAAGTCTCTCTGAGGCGGTGACATTAGAAGGAATCAGGAATGCCAAAGTCTGAGGTAAGTGCATTCTAGATAGGGAGAACAGAAATATTAGGGCCTTCTGGCAGAAACACAGTTGAGATTTTCATGGTTACAAGAGTAGCATGATAGGACATCATGAGCAAGGAGATAGGATCAGATCATGGAAGATCTTAATGACATTGGTAAGGAGGTTGAATTTTATGCCAAGAACAGTGAGCAGTCATTACACATTTAAAACAGGGCCATGAATAATCTAATTTACATTTTTAAAAGATTACTCTGACAATTGTCTGACAACTGGATTAAAAGGAAACAAGAGTATAAAAAGAAACTGTGTGTGAAGCTGTGGTCATTCAAGTAAACAGGAATGTGGACTAGGTGATACCAAGAGAGAAGGAAAGAAGTATGGAAAATGTATTCTGACTCAATATATGTTTTAGTGGTAGAGCTAATCAAACTTATCGAAGAGTATAATGTGAGATGAGGGAACTAGAGGATTCAAAATGACTACTATCCATTGATCCAGCAAGTCATTGATGGTAGCTCATTTACTAAAAAGACTATGAAGAGGAGAACAAATAGGTTTGTAGAGAGAAGAAATAAAAGATTCCATTTTGCCATAATAAGTGTAAGATACCACTTAGATACATAGTGAGGAGATATAGGGTAGTTGGGTATTTGACCTTCATAATAATCCTACAAAGCAGACAGGGAAACACTGGTATGATCCAAATTTTATAAAGGAGAAAACTAAGGCTCAGAGAAAAAGACTTGTCTTAGTACAAAATACTTTTTATTAGTCAGTGCCCTATGTAGAGGGCTGATTCCATATTTTAAAAGAGAGGAATGCCTTCACTGTTAAAGACTTCTCTCTGGAAAAAAAAAACCACCTCCACAGCTTGCTCCTTTTATAGGCTATGCATGCTCCAGAGTTAAAAGATTCCCCAAGAAGATTGAGACATCCAGGTAGCAATATTAAACATATGCAAAGTTTAACTGTGATGCATATATAATGCACATTACTACTATCTTCTTACAAGATTTGTGTCAATAGTTTAAGTACATACAGACTGTATGAAATACGGCACACAATTCTCTTCAAGGGAAGATCACAATTCTTGGTTTTCATTTTTACTGAGTGTTATGTCAAAAAGGCTTCCTGGGGACTGCATTTCCAAAATTAGAAAATCAATTGGCAAATGGCCAATACAATAATCAACACAGCTTCTCAGGATTGAAACTAGCATGTAAGACAAGCTTCTGCTAATTTTGGCACTTCTACAACCATACCAAGGCTGGTTGCTTAAAGGTAGTAGAAACTTCGGCATTGGAAGACATTTTCTTTCAAGCTCAACACATCTATTACAACTTATTCCTTTCAAAATTCTAGGGGTGCCATGTTGAAATTAAGGATAATACTAACAGGAGGAAGGACAGGCATTAAAAAGGGAGGAAAAGAAAGGAGAAGCAGATGACCTCTTCCCATGGCAATCTCTATGACAAAGGACCCGCCAATAACATGCTCACATGACATCACAAAACCCCTTAGGAAAGACATACTTGTTTACATGGCTGGAATCCAGACATTATTACAGGTCTTGATATTTTAAAAGCAGTGCCAATTATCACTTTCAAATAAATAGTAATTATGAATACAAAGTGAAAAACAAGCATGCCTGCTTAATTCAGCTTACCAACAATTCACTGAACATTTATGTCAACAGCCAGCTTTTCCTGGATGTTCTTAAAATAAAAGCAGTAGCCTGGAGGGCACCACAAATAATCCTAGTATCCTCAGAATCAGAAGGAAACTTAGAGGTCATTATATCCAACCTTCTCATTTTACAGATAAGGAAACTAAATAAAGCTGAGAGATAAAGTGGTGTACGCATCATCCCCAAAACACGTCAGGATGAAAAATGTTTTCTGATTCTTAGCCATGATTCCTTGTACTACTGAGACGTCTACAGAAAAGGGGGTGTGGGGGTAGGGGAAAAACTCAAGCAATGCACCAAGGTTTTACTTGAAATAAGAGGAATTCTTAATTGCCAGGGGGAGGAGGAGGAAGAGGAATTAATAGTACTATCACCAATCCAGTCATTTATTAGCAACCTAATTAACAAGAGCCATTTTGAAAATTTACTCTTGATCTTTCCTATAAAATTAATTAACCTTTTTCATTCCCTATATACTACCCCACTCCCAGAAAAGTTTTCTATACTTTACATATTGTACACTGCATTTTTAAACATTATCAGACTATTTTCCTTTCTAAACTTTTTAAGCGCCTGTATTAACTAAAGACCAATATTAATATTTTCTTTAGAAAATGTCCTATAATAGGGACCTTTTGGGTGGCGCAAGGGGTTAAGATGCAACCTATGAAGCTATCTACAGCCACTGTAGCCTGTAGCACGAGTTCAATCCACAGCTGGCCAGGGAGGTAACCCACATGGCGTGCAGACCTCTCCTGACTCGCCCGCTGCTCCCCTCAGCAGTGTATTTCAGTCGATCTGCCTGTTCTGTTTCCCACTCTGTCTCTGGTGAATCCTCTCACCCCTTGCAACTCTGACCTATACCCCAGCTCTTGTATGCATAAATAAAAAAAATCTTTAAAAAAAAAAAAGAAAAGAAAATGTCCTATAATAGTCCCTTTTTCTATTAGCCAAATTAGGAGAGAAAAGATGAGCTAAGCTGGGCATCTCAGTCCTGGAAACAAGGCCCCGGGCCACAGCCTGTCTGTCTGCCACTCTGCTCAGTAAACACCCTCCAACAGCTGACAGTCTCTTCAGTGCCACCCCTGGGTGTTCTCCTCTGGGGCTTCTGGTTTGATGTAGCAGAGTTTGATGTCTAGCAGCGAGTGCCTCCTTCCGTAAAGATCTTCAGAAGGAGGCCCTAGAAAGGTCACGCAGCAGCATGCTTCCAAGCTTCAGAGGAGAACAGACCCTCCCCAAGGATGAGGGGAAATGACATCTCTCTCTGCCTTTAGAACATGTATTCTTAACCAGGTACCACACATATCCATAAAAGATATTAGCAAGTACATATTAGTATTAATGGTTTATGCTTTCCAAGTTTTTGTCCAATCCCAATATATACAGAAAATTCTTGAAAGAGTTATACCAAAACTCTGTAGTGTGTTCACGTAGAACTTACATTTACATTTCAGTGCTCACAGATAATGTTTCTAATCAAAATTGGCTTTGAAGTCTTATCTATTAGGTTTTTGGAAAAGTCGTGATATATTTTTCTGTTGTCTATGCAAAAATGCATCATGAATTTTCTGACAACCCAATAGTTATTAGGGAGGCTGTGCCATATGCAAGATTTATATTCAATTCATCTTCTGCAACACTGCTTAAACAATTGGATTGATAATAGTGGTAATTATAATACTAATCCTCCCCCATGCAATCTCAGATTTCCTCTTACTCCAAAAAGGAATACCTCAAAAATATTTTAAGGGCCTCCCTGGTGGCACAGGGGGTTAAGCACCGCACTATGAAGCAATCTGCAGACTCTGCAGCACGATTTCGATCCCCTTGGCCCACCAGAGAGCAACCCACATGGCACAGCAGACCTCTCCTGACTCGCCCGCTGCTCCCCTCAGCAGTGTACTTAGGTCAATCTGCCTGTTCTGTTCCCCACTCTGTCTCTGGTAAATCCTCTCATCCCCTGCATCTCTGGCCTGTACTCCAGCTCTTGTATGCATAAATAAATAAATCTTTTTTTTAAAAAATTTTAAATCTTTTTTTAAAAAAATATGTATGTGTGTATATATATATATCCTTTTTTTTTTCCTGCAAGTATTTTTCCTGGGCATTCTTTTCTCTAAAACATCTATACAACAGTGAACTTCAAGTTATATACTGAGGTTCCAGAATTTGCTCATTAGCTATTGGAAAGTAAAATCCAAAAGTAAACAGCCCCTCAGTGTAGTCCCCACTTCTGTACCAGGTTAAGTTCTCAAGATGCCAGCAATCTCCCTATCTCCCAATTCCACCAAAATATATGGCCTTGATTTTATTTGGCAGTTTCAGCATTCCATTGGCCTGATTAGATAGAAAATAGAAAATAATCATGAAAAAAGTACTTACAGCATAAGCACCTATCAAATATGCTGCATTTGCTCTTTTCCGCTGATCAAAACAGGTGTAATGCACTATTTTCTTTCTTGATAAGCTGTATGACTAGAAAAGGAAAAAAAAAAAGTGAGTGCAACCACAGAGACAATATTGGAATATACAGAAGATAAACATCATCTCTTAATTTTCAAAGATGTGCCACAATCAGTGAAATTTAACAACTTTCTATTTTAATTTCTATGGCATCTGGACTTGAGCATGGTGGGGGGGGGAGATCTGGTTCAGATATTTTTCCCTCCATTCATGATGTAAGAATTGACAATATAACAAATGTTTCCAACCAAGAAAGAAGACTGACACTAGTGAGAAATAATTACATTATTGGCACCTTTATAAGCAGGAACCATTTTTGAAGATTTGCTCTTGATCCTATCTGTAATGTGTATTCACTGTTTTCCACATACCATTCCCACTCCCAAAAGTTATTTTACTTTTACATTATACAATGTTTTCAAACATACCAACCAGTCTATTTTCCTCTGTAAAACTTCTTAAAACTAGAGCACCAATATCAATGTTTTCTTCCTAGAAAGTTCTAGAATAGTCCCTTTTTAATTATCTGAAAATAAATAGTTAATGGAAAAAGATGAACTATCACAAGGATTATATCAGCAAACATCTGAATAGTGTAGTTACATATTAAATTAATGGATTCAAACAGTTATTAAGAATCTGCTATTTGCCACAAAACATATTGCATGCCAAATTAATTCCAAAATGAGCAATATAGTGTGTTGCACACATGCTTAAAATGAAGAGTACAAATAAAAAAAATCTGTTAAAAGGAAGCCAAATTATTAATCAAAACTCAAATATAAAACAATGAGCACACAGACACAACTCAGTGAAATCTGCTCAACTTCCTCCTACTTCAAAACAGTTCAAATATTTTGACAAGTGGTTTTCAAAATACACACACCTAAGTACATTTTAATAGTTACCGATAAATACCTAACTATGAAAGCTGCTTTCTGCACCTTATACATTCACCACAGCCCGCAAAGAATTTCTGCTTTTAGAGACCCTGTGGAAAAAAATGTCAACAGAGCTCAACCATACGTTTACTTATCCTGCTATTTTCTAGGAAGAAATGAGACTCTTTCAACTCTGAAGTCTATTCTAAGATGAAACTACAACATAGAACCACAGAAAACATAGCTATGGGTAACTCTGCAATGAGGCTGCAATACCTCACCACCTCAAACCAGGCATTTCTTTGATAATCAAGAATCACATTTCTTCTGAAAATGGCACAGCCCTCTGTCATTGAACTTTGAAAAATAAGTATTTGCCTCACAGAGGGACGTTCATTACCAAAGTCCTTGTTTCCTGACACTTACTAAAATACTCCTAAGAAATAAAGAGGGGGAAAGCTACATTTTATTCAGGCAGTTCGGCCAAATTCATACACTGATGTAAAGACTTCAACTGTCTGCCTGCACATTGTATTTTTACTATGTATTTGTTTGCCACTGTTGTGATCCATCATGAAGTTATGTTTGATTTACTCCAAGAGGAGTCAAGGCTTTTAAGAACTAAGGATCCTTATGGTCTTTGAATCTCAAACATGTAGCCTGCCCCCCAAAATTAGGAGTCAGGCTGAAACAAGGACTCAACAGCTCTTCTGGCTCCCAGCTTCTATTTACATTTCCTCATCCCCTAAAACACCTATGGGGAAGAAAACAATCAACAATCTAGCCTGAAGTCTGGATTATCTGTTTTGATGTTCTTTTCTACTGAGAAATTAGGTTTCATAATATTTAATCATGTGGAATTCAATTTACAAATCCATCTGCCAAAAATGACAAACTCATATTGCTGCTCTTTTATCACCAGTGGCCTATTTGGTGCTTTTTTCCTCCCTAACTTTTTGTGTTTGCTTGGTTTTTGTTTTTCTCTCTCTTTCTAAAGTATATGCAATGCAGAGGCCATCCTGGAATGGAAGCCCTGAAACTGAAAGAAAAGAATTCTGAGGGAAGCTTTCTTTTCATTGTGTAACTGTAATTTTTTCTAAGTATAGTGAAAGTTAAAATTTTAAGCACTTTCGAAGAATTTTTTTAACACTCTAAGTTTTCAGAAATCATGTCAGATAAAGACTATCCTTTACAAAGTCCACTGAGAAATTTTAAAATGTCTCTTTTGGATGTTGCTTACAGAATGAAAAACAACTACCTTTTTCCTTTTTTTTTTTTTAATGAGGTAATTCTGTGTGACTTTTAGGGGAAAATGTAAAGCTCCCTACCTTTACCTTGCTTAGATGTTTTTTTGGAATTCAAGCATTTTTTTCCCAGGTAAGTCTCAAAAACACTATACTCAAGAAAAGATCGGCTTAGTGAAGCTTGCCCAGTGTATGCTTGGTCACATCAGAGACAGCTGAGTTGTCACCTGAGGAATCAAAACTAATTCAAAGTGAATGACAAAGGAAAAACCTACACACTACAGGGCTTCTCCTAAGTTCCCTCCTGTCCTCACTTTTACGGGCAAACTTCTGCCAGTTACAGCAGCAATGTTGTTCTACACAGGACATAATCTGGGGCTGGAATAAAAAATTTCAGGCATAACATAACATTTTGCCAACTCTTTAGCTGATACTTTATATGACTGGTTGATACCCAAAACCAAAAGTAATCTGCTTTCAAATATTAAGTGTGTCCCTCTCTTTAAAAACAAACAAAAAATTACCAACTACATATGAAAATACCCTAGAAGAAACAATACACTGGAGATATTGATGACCAAAGCACCTTTAGAGGAATATTTGGTTCATCCTTCAATAACTTTCATGAAAGAACTTTATCGTGCACAGAAAGGCACAGTCTGAAGATAAGATTTTATTTTATGAATGAGTCCAGTAGATATTTTCTCAGACTCTGGCTCAGTATCAGGACAACTGTCTCCAAACTCAAGAGCTGTCTCTTCCTTATTCTGGCCAGACTCCTCTGTGGTCTGTTATGCTGGGCAGTCCCTTAAGGAAGTCACTTGCAAAATTAGACAATCAACTGTGGTTTTCAGTGACTTCTCTACTGCAGATTCATTTGCTTTACATGAGAAACTCAGAAAATTATGAAATACTGTATATAATAGCAAGGGAATATTAGAAATTTGCAAAAAAAAATGAATATAATCTGAAAATACAGGGACGATATCGAAGGAATACTAAGGCCTCAGTCCTACTTGCCTACTCTAAAGCAAAGCCACACATGACCCATTATAAATTACAACCTGCAGGCACTATACAATATTTCAGATTTTTATCTGGAAGCTGGAATATATAGCCTTCTGACCCTTCAGAAGCTAAGTGAACACAGCCAGACCCCTACAACAGCAGCAACAACAGCTAACATTTTTCTGAGACTTGGCTAAAATGTATCATTTCCCAAAGCAACAGGAACAGGGCCAGATGGGTCCAGTTTGACAGACAGTGACTCCCAAATCAGAGAGGGGCAGGGCTGAAATACCAGTATATGAGCACACAAGCCAAAAGCCAGAAAGGGTCTGCTGTGAACTTTTACACAGCAGGTATAGTAGAGAGGAGCAATCCAGAACTCTCTCACTAACCTTGATCATTTGGTAAATCTCCTTTAGAAGGCCATAACAAGTTTCATGGTTAAACATCTAAATAATTAGATCGCAGCGGTCAATATTACCAAAACATTTCAGAAATTAAAAAACAAACAAAATCTCAATAGAAATTGTATTATTATATTTCATCTTCTTAAGAGACTGGTTCACTATTACATGGAAAGCTTATTCAAATATGATTGCTGGGCCAGAGTTTCTGATTCAGTAGGGCTAGGCCTGAAAATGAGTCTTTCTAACAGGTTCCTTAGTAAAGCTGATGTTCCAGGGCCCACATATTGAAATCTACTACAGAAAAATAGTGCTCAGTTTTGTAAAAGAGCTGCATAGAAATATGACTGGCCCCACATGAATCCTAAAATACTGTCCATCTAGTCAAGTAGTCCCAAAAGACATTTAAATTCTTAAAAAATCCAAATCAGGTCATATGCTTTTAAGAGCATGTTATAAAAAACACATTTCCCCAAATTCCTTACAAAACTTTATTACAAATTGTAAATTCATGCAATCCAACTTAGGAATAAGTTTCCTTAGTGATTTGGTAACTAAGCTGCCTTAAATGGCACTTATTCCAAAGGTTCAAAATTCAAGTGTTATTAGGCACCAAGAAAATGAAGTGGATCTATGGGTTAATTAAAAAAGCATAACCTATCTAAAGCAGACCTAGCTCCTACCCGCTGCTCCTATATATGAATCTGGACCCAAAATCAAATACTGAAATATGTAAAAGAAGCCAGAAGCCCAGAATAAAATTTCACAAATTACAGATGTTGATCATGAATTCAAAAATCTTAAATAGCATTCACCCTCAACAAAATATATCCAAAGACTGAATGTAGTCCATAATCAACCAGTTTACTGAATGTGGGTGCTGGGAGGTGGTGCTGAAGAAAATGCCATTGGTTCTATCAGAATAAATTGAGCAGTAACTGTGGGTCAAGCCCAGTGCTGAGATATGTGGTAACAAGGGGAATGGAACCCCAGCCTCCAGCCTCCTAAGTGCTCACAGTCTAGATTATTTAAATAAGGGGAAAATCTGGCCAAGGCTTATTACAAAGGGAAAAAAATACCCAAGGATGCATTCACACACAGCAAGGACCGAAGGAAAGATCATAATTACTGGTACTTAAATAATTGTTTAATTTAAGAAGGTTAAAAAAAAATAAGCATTCAGAATTGAATATCTATAAATTAACATAATCAAACCTACAAAAATGTCCAGACCTATACTGCTTACCTGAGAGTCTGTTTTAGCATCTTACATAAATCATAAGAGTGTAATGCAGCATATAAATGTTTAACATGCTTATAATCCAAAGTGCAACAATAAAACAATACAAGTTAAAATGAAGTACTGACCCCAGACATTTTCTGTCTGGCAAAGGAAAGCTATGTGAAAGGTTGCGTTCTCATGGCGTCACTCCTTGTGAAAAATGAGTCACAGCCACTCAGAAAGAGAAAATGAT